CTAGGTTAATATTTGGAACCTCTGCAAATTATTTGCCAACATTTCCCCCTCCTGAAAGTGTTATGACTATACCATTAACTAAAAGGCTGCATCCATCAAGACAACGCTGGGGGGGGTGGGGATTGCCTTTAAAAAAGCAATTTGCAGAAATGCACGCATTAGCCATACCCCAGCACAGACACCATGACAAACCAAGAAAACAATATGCAAACACACATTTTGAGATTACCTAAAATCCCTCATTCTAACTTAATTTACTGTGCCTTAAAATGAGATTTTTTTTTTAAGCTTATTATTTTTTTAGTAATGGCTACACTCATCCTGGGGCTGGAACTCAGGACCCCAAGATCAAGAGTTGCATGCTCTTCTGAGCCAGCCAGGTGCCCCAAGGTGGGATTGTTCTGGAAGTACAAGGTTTCTTCAGAAAAGCATTAAGATATTTTATCTACTATTTATGATGGATACCAGTCATAAACACCAAGACATATTATTTGAAGTAACTGCTAAAGAAATAGGCACACTCCCAAGGTACTACCTTACTTAGTTACACATAGGTCTTTTGTCAGTGGCTTAGGAAAATAAGAGTACTCATCTAAAGGTCAGCAGACAAGTTCTGGCTTTGCCATTTACTAGCGTACCAGTCATGTGGCAGAGAAAAAAAAAAATCACGACATCTCAAATTCACGTTTCTGAACCACTAAATGGAAGTAACATTATCTAGTTCACTGATACCTGAAATAGGTAAAAATGTCTGTGAAAGTGGTTCCTGAGTGAAGTTCTATATAAATGCGGCATTAAATAGTTTAAAAATTTAAACTTTACCCTACTCCTGTCATTATTGCTTAAATACACAAATGTAAGGTAAAAAGGAAATCTGCTGCAAATTCAGCCTACAGGCCTTTTTTTTAATCATGCTTTCAACTTCTTAAAAGTATTGGTAACTCATTTGTAAAATTCAGTACATTAAGTTACCAGACTGAAAATTCACTTGCTATACCAGGTTAAAGTCAGGAAATTTTTCCAATATTTCATATTCCCTTGACCGAACTATTAGACAATTATGATAAGCCTGCTTGTTTATATAAATTTTCAGTGTGTTTTCTTGTACTTACTGAATCCAAATTTTGCTCAGACTATGTGTTCTACCTCATATAATTCAAGCTGAGACCTTTTCACATAAAGGTGAAAAGGATACCTAGGTATGTGCACAGTAGTAAGCATTTACTCCCATCATCTCAGATTACAATTTCATTATATTCCATAGTTTGGGAAGCCAATAAAATAAACTGAAATTTGCTCATTACACACAATATTGTATGGAAGTCTAAAGTAGGGGTGCCCAGCTGGCTCAGGTGGTGGACCATGTGACTCTCGATCTTGGGGTCAGTGACTTCAAGCTCCACATGTGATGTAGTTTACTTAAAAATTTTTTTAAGTGCTTAAAGAAAAACCCCTCTAAACACAATGGAGCATTTGCTTTAATGAGCAGAGTATCCAATTCAGCTTACGTTTAGGCAGGAGAAAAAATATATACGATAAAGTTAACTCCATTAACTGAAAATGCAGTAATAAAAATTACTGGCCTAAGTAAAGAATTGACAGCAACCTGTTTTAAACTCATTACTAAAGTTAATTTGCTGGAGTGCCTGGGTGGCTCAATTGCGGTTAAGCGTAGGGATCTTGGTTTCAGCTCAGGGTTGTGAGATCAAGCCCTGCACCAGGCTTCTAGATGGCTGTGGAGCCTGCTTAGGAGTCTCTCTCCCCCCTCTCCTTGTACCCCTCCCCCTGATCACACCTTGCTCTCACTCCCTCCCTCTCTAAAGTTAATTTACTATTTACCTATTTTCCCCATAACATGTATTAAGGAGTTATTTTAAAACATTTCCCCACCTTTCACTGACTACCAAAATAAGCTAGAGATAAGGCTCTGGTGTTTTAAAAGGACAGCTCTCAATAAGTAGACTCAAAATAAATGCCTTCCTAGTATCGATGCATTCAGAGAGAGAATGAATAATCAACAGCAACCATCAAAACTTTACTCTTGCCCCACATGGAGCAATCATCACAGGGAAAAGGTAAGGGAAGGACAAAGCCAGCAACTACCTCACAAACCCAAACGTACTTTATGCTGACCCCCTCGAATTTGAAAAACGTGAAATCTTCTCTTTTCTTTACCAATGGGGTTTATATATATATATATATGAGAGAGTAAGACTTGGTTAAGGAATGTTAAAAGGTAATAGATTTGACTCATACAGCTACAAATGTTGTAAAAACTATCCCTTAGACTTCAGACTTATTAAGTGATGAGAGGCTAGATTTAATCTTCAAGATGAACAGTCCTAGCCTATCTGGAACCCACCAGCAGCCTTTTCCTGAACACAGCTTAGCTCTTCCTCTAGTACCATTAAATGATCCATATAAATTGATTCCAATTCCCCAGGACATAACTAAATAATGCTACAAATAAGTATTAAGGTCAACAGACTATGCAAAATAAAAGATACTGCAGGAAACAAGAAAAGCTGATATTTACATCCAAGTACCCAAAACCAAATCATTCAAACTCACTTTTCCTATCTTCCACTCCCACACCACATACTGTTCAGTGACTAAAACTATGGGAAATTTTAGTCACCACAAACAAAACTCAACTGTTGTACCCAATGAAAGAATGGACACAGGTAGAGGCTGATTCCTGATGACTGCCTTTCTTTTCTTCCCTTCCAAAAAATTCCTATCTTGTGCCCGACAGACAGTGGAGTTCCTCCCCACCGGGTAGATCCTATTTCCCTCCCGCTTTCTATCCTGAAGAAGATACAATTAACGATGTGGCTCTCTCTATACAGTGCTATGCTGAATAACTAGTAAGGGTTTCATTAAAATTCCTCAACACTCAAATCCAAAATATTACTACTAAACCGTCATTCACTTGGAAGCTACAACCATGAGCTTCCAATTCAGTTTTTAAAACAAATTAAAAAAAAAAAAAAAAGAAGAAGAAGAAGAAGAAACCAACAACAAAAAACCCTTCCTCCACATCCTTTTTGGTTATCCTAGCAAGCTGACTCAAAACCTAAATTCTCACAGACCAGAAAGCATTCAAATATAATTTCAGGTTTCCTCCCAAGGAGACTAACAGATTAAGAGAGGAACCCACTGGGGGCATAAGGGGGGAAAAGAAAGAACTTTCACTACCAGCACACCTACATTGTTTCACTTTTAAACACTGAAATAAAGACAAATCCGACCTCGAGCTGTACTTCCCCATCTTATTTTCCTCCCCCTCCCAAGAATCTTGTTCAATACAAAGAGACATTTAAGGATTTAAAACACAAATTTTAGTGCACTACACCCTTCTTCAATTTGAGTCCCTAGCCTAATTTTCAAATTCCTGAATCCTAATGTACGATACACTGGGACTACCCCTGTGGCTATACACATGACCAACCAGGCATTCAAGGAAAGCAAGGGCCCTACAAAGCATTTTGAAAAGTAAGTGGCTTCAGTAATTACGAAAAAATCTGAACATCGATGGCACTGGATTCCAAACTTCTCTCACCCTGGAGAGCCTCTGAAGCACAGAAGCCACATTTAAGAATTTTTTTTTTTTTTATAATACTACAGTTTAACAGATATGGGGGTAATTCAAGTACCTAGGTCAAAACTAAAGGTAGTGGGGGGGGGGTTAATTTTAAAAAGCAGCCTGAGAATCACTAAAACGGACACAATGGACATTTCGATCAAGTTCTGAAAAAAAAAAACTAAAGAACCTAGAAGGCAAAGAAGCAATGAACAAAGAACTGTTCAAAACTGTACACAGAGCCATTTATTTAAAAGAGAAAAAAGAAAATAGGATCTGCCGGGATGCCCTATGTTCAAAATCCAAAAACCCAAGCATCGGGTGAGTGCCTGGGATAGGTTACGATCCCCAACGAAGTACAACAAACACGCATTCCAATCCCGGGGAGTGACCAAGATACAATTACTAAACCTTATTTGAAATAACTTTATTTTCCCACAGGTCTTTCCATTTATCATGATGGTTCGTGTAAATAGGAAAATCAACATTTTTACACACTGGTAAACTGAGACACGGGCATTTGTGGGATTCAGAGTCATGGTCTCCTTGTTCCCTGTTCAAAGCTCTATCCGCCAGAACCTCCAGCTAACGGTGCCAGAAAATGATTACAAGAACTTCGAGCTCTCCAGGATAAGGCCAGGAAAGGGACCGTGAGGTTTTTCTAGACCTCCCCAGAAGAAGGCGAGGTTGAACGGAAAGCCTTAAAAACCCTCAACACAAGGTGTGTCGGCCTACAGAAAGGAAATCCGATCGCAGCATCTCAGCTGGCCTCCGCTCAAGGATGAACTGCAGTGATTCCCACTCTGTCCTTCCCCAACCCTCACCCAAGACTGCCCTCCACCACAAACCCAAAGCAGCCCTCCGCTCGCAAGGATTCTCCTTTGTGAGACTCCACAGCCGCCGCCCCACACTGGGCCTCCGGGGACAAGCCACCGCCCCCACCCGCCATATTTCTGTGAAAGGCGCCCGTGCAGCTCCTGGTGCTACTCTCCCTAATGTGGAGAGTGTTTCTTCCCCCCCCCCCCATCACCCCACCCAATTGTTCTCCACATCCGAAGACGGCCCAGATGCTCCCTTGGGGCTCGCTCGCCCGGAGATAGCACCCGCCATCTCCTCCCCCTCCCCCGCCCCGGGACTCGCCCTCCCCCCAGCCGCCATTTTACAACCAACTCCTCCACCCTTTCCCCTCGGCCTCCTGGCCCGCGAGTGTGTGTAGCAGAAGACGCCAAAGGGGTCAAATTCCCGGGTCTGGGGCCTCCCGCCGCTCCGGGAGCCCACAGGGCATTTCCTACTTTCCGAATCCACGTCCCCGGCCAAGCTCGGAGACGATGCCGCCATTTTGTCTCCTGCTCCCGGCCTCTGTGGGCGGCGGCAGAGGGTCCGAGAATTCCAGCCCCCTATTGCCCCCCCAACTCACCGTCGTATCGCTCAGCCTGCTCGGCCAGCTTCGCCTGGTACACCAGATCCTCCCGATCATCCATAGCGGTAGCGGCTCCGGCAGGGTCTGCGCGACGGATGGAAGCGGATAGAGTCTCCGACTCTCTCAGCCTCTCGCTCCGTGTCCGGGCAGCAAAAATGGCGGCGCCTCAATCCGGGACTTCCGCCTGCGCACGCGGACAACTGCTCAGCTCTATGGCAACCGCTCCCTGGCAACTGGCGCGGGGGGCGGATCCGGGAGCTCAGAGCCCGAAGAGGCTGGAACCAGCTAGCGGTCCCTCCTCCGTGGACTCCGAGGGCGTTGGAGGGCTAAGGCGGGAACTGCGACGGCTGGGAGGGAGAGCAGCCCGGAGACAGAGTCGGGGGTGGGGGGAGCTGCCTGGACCAATTCTGAAGAGAGTGAGCGAGGGATCCTGAGTGTGCGGAGGGCCCACGCCTAGACCTGAGGGCAGAGAAAGCTCTAACGGTTTTTGTAATGGCAGGCCTTCCTCACTGAAACCAACTTCTCTACCTAACCTGTTTTCCCAGCCAAGCCCAGTCCTGGGCCTTTTTCACACCCTTTTGACACGGGGTAAAGAGTGGGAGTCTGCTATAAATGGTAAGGGAAGGGGCCTCGCAGTTTTCGCACCTCAGCTCACATAGAAGATTTTGCAGTCTGCTCCCTTTTAGCCTTCCTTTTCACCCTAGGTCTGCCATGGATAGGAACAAGGAAGTTAGAGAAGTCTAGTCTGGACTGCAAGTTGTGAAAGAGTGGGACCAAGATTAATCGAGATTGAAGAGGCAGAAGTGAGAAAGAACCTGGCCTGTTTTGCTTCCCAGTGGATCCCCAGCACCTTGTACCCAATAAAGTATTGGTTGCAAGGCTGGAGCTCACGTTAAAATACAAACCATGTGGTGGGGTGTGCAATAGATGTGGAATAAAAACAAGGTTGGGGGCTTCTGGTTGGCTTAGTCTTTAGAGCACGCAACTCTCAATCCCGAGTCCTGAGTTCAAGTCCCACATTGGGCGTGGAACCTATTTTTAAAAAAACCCCCCCCCCCCCAAAAAAAAAAAAAAAAAAAAAACCCTTAGGTTGTAACCAAATTATGAAGAACCTTAGATGCACCTTATTCTGTGGGCACAAGGGAGTTATGTTTCTATGATTTTGCATGGAGGTTGCCATCATAGATAGACTCTGAAAAGATCAATAAAGATTGCACAGCAGTCCTTGCAGAGCTGCTGCCCCAGAGCCATCTGTGCCACCCAGCGAAGGATAATGCCACCGTGTCCTCCGTCAAGGCTCTAGATGGGGAGCCCTTGGGCCCTCCTCCTTCAAATTGTTTGCAGTCAAAGTTGCAAAGACAGCAGAAAACTTTCGTGCTCTGAGCACTGGGGAGAAAGGATTTGGTTATGAAGATTCCTGCTTTCACGGGATTGTATGCGCCAATGTGATGATTTCACACACCATCAATGGCAATGGTGGCAAGGCCATCTATGGGTAAAAATTTAATGGTGAAAATTTCATCCTGAAGCATATAGATTCTAGCATCTGTGCGTGGCAAATAAAGGACCCAACACAAAGTTTTTTATCTGCATTGCCAAGATTGAGAGATTGGAAGGATGGCAAGCATGTGGTCTTTGGCAAGGTTATTGTGGAAGCCATTGAGAGCCTTGGGTACAGAAATGGCAAGATCAGCCGATGATCACCATTGCTGACTGTGGACAAATCTAACAAATTTGACTTGTGTTTTGACTACCACAACATTCCTTCTGTAGCTCAGGAGAGCACATCTTCCACACCCATCTGGTTGAAATATCCTATCTTTGTGCTCTCATTGCAATTCTATAGATTACATACTTTCTTTACTCCCTTCCAAGTCTAGCTGGATTGCAGAGTTACATTTATGATTATAAAATAAAAACTATACGAAAAAGATCACACAGTCGTGATTAAAGAAGAGATTAAATTATCAGGCTATAATAATGCGGGTAAAAGGTAATACACGGTTGTGGTGAAAATGGGAAGGAAAGGACAAATAGGAATAGTATTGCAGAGAAAAGCTGCAAGAGTTTGTAACTGGGGGCACCTGGCTGGCTCAGTTGGTAGAGCATGCAGCTCTTGATCTCAGGGTTGTGAGTTTGAGTCCCATTCTGGGTGTACAGATTACTTAAAAATTAACATCTTAAAAAAAAATACTTGGGGCGCCTGGGTGTCTCAGTTGGTTAAGCGTCTGCCTTCAGCTCAGGTCATGATCCCAGGGTCCTGGGATTGAGCCCCGCATTGGGCTCCTTGCTCAGCAGAGAGCCTGCTTCTCCCTCTGGCTGCTGTTCCCCCTGCTTGTGCTTGCTCACTCTCTTTCTCTCTCTCTCTTGCTTGCTCTGTGTCAAATCTTTTTTAAAAAATCATGAAACAGGGCGCCTGGGTGGCTCAGTGGGTTAAAGCCTCTGCCTTCGGCTCAGGTCATGATCCCAGGGTCCTGGGATGGAGCCCCCCATCAGGCTCTCTGCTCGGCGGGGAGCCTGCTTCCTCCTCTCTCTCTCTCTCTGACTGCCTCTCTGCCTACTTGTGATTTCTGTCTGTCAAATAAATAAAATCTTAAAAAAAAATCGTGAAACATAGTAAATAAGATTTGGAGGGAAAAAGCTTATAGCTGATCAGATATGTAGATTTTGTGAGGAAGAACAAAAATTAAAATTGACTTTCCATCTTCCCACCCTGAGTTCCTGGGATAATGAGTGGTAGTACCATTAACAAAAAATAAGATTGATGGGGAAAGTTGCTGATGGATGCCACAGAAAGACATGAGTTCCTTTTAGCACGTTTTAGTTCTAAGGTTCTCACAGATCACCCACAGATCATAGAAACTTGGAATTTGAAAAGGCGACTGGCCTTCCAAACTGAAAGGAGGCTGCCATGGAAGCAGCTGGAGAATATGTGCACGTAGAAGACCAAACAGACCTTGGAGAATACCTACTTTTGGGCGCCTGGGTGGCTCAGTGGGTTAAAGCCTTTGCCTTCAGCTCAGGTCATGATCTCAGGGTCCTCTGCTCAGCGGGGAGCCTGCTTCCTCCTCTCTCTCACTCTCTCTGCCTGCCTCTCTGCCTACTTGTGATTTCTGACTTCAAATAAATAAATAAAACCTTTAAAAAAAATTTTAATGGTAAAGGTGAGAAAACATCTGGGTTCCAGTCCTAATTCTATTCTATAATATGTGCCCTTCAGCAAACATTGTGTTCCTCTGTAAGTTAAAGAACTGGAGACTGTATGATAGGCTACAAAACAAATTTAATAAATGTTAAAAGACTGAAATCATACAAAATATCATTTCCTATCACAATGGATTGAAACTAAAAATAAAAACTGGAAAATTAACAAATATGTGGAAATTAAGTAATGCTGTTAAATAATAATGGGGCAAAGAAGAAGTCACAAGGGAAATTTAAAAATACCTTGAGATGAGTAAAAGCCAAAACACAATATACCAAAACTTCTGAGATGCAACAAAAATGTGCTAAGAGGGAAATTCATAGCTGTAAATGCCTACACTAGAAAAGAAAGATTTCAAAGTACTAAACTGTTATTAAACTTTGTTTATAACTTTGTCATTAAACTTTGTTTAATAAATAACTATTATTAAACACCTTAAGGAACTACAAAAAGAACAAACTAAACCTGAAATTAGCAGAAGGAAATAAACATAAAGATTAAAGTGGAGATGAAATAGAAAATAGAAAAAAAAAAAAACTCAACCAAAAGCTGGTTCTTTGAAAAAGGATAACTGAAAAACCATTAATTAGATTGACTAAGAAGGAAAAAAAAAAGCTCAAAATTAAAATCAAACAAGGGGCACCTGGTGGCTCAGTCGGCTTAGCATTGACTCTTGATTTCAGATCAAGTCATGATCTTGGGGTGGTGGGATTGAGCCCTGCATCAGCCTCTGCGCTGGGTAAAGAGTCTGCTTGAGATTCTCCCTCTGCCTCCTGGACTTGCTCTCATGCTCTCTCTCTAAAATAAATAAAATCTTAAAAAAAAAAAATAGAGGCAGTGGGGTGGCTCACTATGGTAAGCATCTGACTCTTGGTTTTGGCTTATGTCATGATCTCATGGGTGGTGAAATGGAGACCCACATAGGGCTCTGCACTCAGCAGGAAGTCCGCTTGAAGATTCCCCCTGTCCCTCACCCTGCTTATCCTCTCGTTCTCCCTCATTAATAAATAAATCTTTTTAAAAAGTATAAAATCAGAAATGAAACTGGTGACATTACTACAAACTTTACAGAAATAAGGATTATGACTATTATGAACAATGGTATGCCAATAAACTGGATAACAAATGGACAAATCCCTAGAAACATACTGAGATGTTGTGATATAATTAAAACAAAAACAAACACATAAAACCAAACATATTTGGCCTTTATGCTTGATTCCTGGAATGGAGCTCCTCAAACTCTTAAAACTTCCTGAACTGGTGAGGAGCTTCTTTTGTTATATGTAATAAGTCCCTTTCTATTTTTTTTTGAGATTTTATTTATTTATTTGACAGAGAGAGATCACAAGTAGACAGAGAGGCAGGCAGAGAGAGAGGGGGGGAAGCAGGCTCCCTGCTGAGCAGAGAGCCTGATGCAGGACTCGATCCAGGACCCTGAGATCATGACCTGAGCCGAAGGCAGCGGCTTAACCCACTGAGCCACCCAGGCGCCCCGCTTTCTATTTTTTTTTTAAGATTTTATTTATTTGAGAGAGAGAGAGAGAACACAAGAGGAAGGGAGAGGCAGAGAAAGAAGGAGAGTGAGAAGCAGACTCCCTACTGAGCAGAGAGCCTAGCATTCTGCCCTACCCCAGGATGCTGGGATCATAACCCGAGCTGAAATCAAGAGTGGGACACTTAACCAACTAAGCCACCCAAGCATCTGGAAGATGTAATTTTTAACCCTACCCACACTACTCCTGATCTCTAGGGATGGGAGAGGCTGGGAAGGGAGTTAATCACCAGTGGCCAATGATTTAATCATGCCTTAAATAATGGAAACGCCATAAAAAAAATTTTTTTTTCTTTTTTAAGATTTAAAGGAGGAGCCTGACATGGGGCTCATCCCAGGATCTCAGAATCATGACCTCAGCCAAAAGCAGACACTTAACGCACCAAACCACCCAGGAGCACCTCCCCACTTGTTTTTTGTTT